CTGTAATATGTACTTCGCGTTTTTGAATCCCGCTTTTCCGCATGTGATCACGTAGAATTTATCGTCCGCCAGCTCCAGGGTCTTGTGTATCCTCACTGCGATCGGGATAGACCGCTCCTCGGTGTCCTGCAACCATTCCCATTAAATTCTCAGTGACTCACTATGGCAACTGGGTTTTCCGTTTCACGCTCTCCAATCTTATTCAATTTTTTTTAAATGTGCATAGTCTGAGGACACTGCCAAGTTTTTATTACTGCCTCTTGACCTTCCTGTGACCTTAAGGTAGCACTGGAACTCTGACCTCATGCATGCCATGACACTTAATTTACCAAAAACCCACTCTAAACGTTTTATTCATTCCCGAAAACCTGTAATCTGTTAAGTGGAGGAACTCACGTTGTTCACGAGAACGCCACAATAATCCGGCGAGCCTTTGGGGGCTAGGAGATTAATGGCGAGGGTCGCGTGGGTGGTTCCATTGCCGGGCGTCATGCACTGCGGCGTCCTAAAATCCCTCGCGTGAACAGCACCGACGAAACTCTGGTTCAGGTTCACTCTTATCGTCATATGACCAGATGTGTATAAGATACAGTATAAAAATAAATAATCTACTATTTTATCCACGTATTCATTAATCTAAAAAATTCGCTCTGCTCTCTGTGACTGAATTTGAAGCACATTCCGGGAATTTCTCGTTTGTGCTGCGCGAAATTCGCCGCCTGGGGGTGATTACAAGTTTCGTACTTCACGGAACGTGTATCACGCTCGGAACAGAACCGGAAGGGCTGGTATGAAGAGCTAATAACGAGTTGAAGTCGAACCTGGAGCCGTATTGGGATCCGTGCCAGCTCCGATACGGATCGTAGTCCTCGATAATCGACGGCTCCTTCTCGATAATGTCGGTCCTCGTGCAGCTGCAGGTCATCGCCGAGCATAGGAATATATTGATTATCAGCATGATGAGGAACAAAATGCCGAGAGCCACCGCCAGCCACAGCAGCCATAACGGGTGAACGGTGCCGTCTTCATACAACGTTTGCACCGCTGAAAAACAATCGAAGCTAGCATTAACGTCAGGACGTCGCGTCGACGACGATGTACAGTGCATTGGATAGTTCCGGTTAAGCATCAACATGGACGGTTTTTATTTCCGTCGCATGACGACGCACTGTGCAACGCCGTCAGGCGGTAATTAATTCAGCAACGCGAGACGGAGATAAGCATAATCACGCTGTACCACCACGTGGTAACAGGAAGTTGCGCGAGGTATGAAAAGTGCGGTGCGATATTTACATGGCGTTTGACCAGGGTCAAGAACGAACACGCTCGTGCCGGCTAGGAGCACTCCTTCCTCGCCGCTCACGCTCTGACCATTAATTAAGGACGCTCCCTTTACTTCTTCCTCGTTATCGCCTTCGCAAACGGGGATACCGCAGCTTCCTGGAAGCATAGAATAAAATGTCCGTTTCATCTCTTTTATCTCTTGTACTCTGTGGCCGAGGGGGGAGGGGGGGCAGTCCTTAGTACGCGTTTGTTGAGTTTTAAAAATAGCTCCTAGCTTTATATGGTCTCTAGATTTATTTGGAAAACAATAACGACGTCAGTTACAACGGAAACAATTGTGAAAACAGAGTACCTATTGCGTTTAGTCTTTCACCTGGTTGGAAAATTCAATGCTACTATATTTTACTATTTACTCTGAATTTAACTGACTGCGGAACCGTTCAATGAATATGTTAATCGCCGGGAGTTGAATGCGCCGTTGTAACCCAGATTAAAAGCGGGTCGTAATCGGAAATCAGTTTACGTACCTCTGCACACGGCGATGTCGCATTGAAAATGCACCTGCGGACTGTCCGGGAACCGGAACATGGAGAACAATGTAGCATCCGCCAGTCCGGTGTTCCGATCGTAGATGAATTTCGTCATTACCCGAGCCTTTACGGGACACCTTTGTCATGGAAAACCAGCGTTACGCAAGTTTTTATGATCGTTGGTCAGTAACCCTCATCGTACAAATTTTTACTCTAATAATTATCCCCATAATTTTCAATCTAATAGCAAGTCTAATATTTTTAAGTCTAATAGCTAGCCTAATAATTTTGAGTCTAATAATTAGCCCAACAATTTTGAGTCTAATAATTAACCCAATATATTTTGAGTCTAATAATTAGCCCAATAATTTTGAGTCTAATAATTAGACGCTGAAGGACGAATGCGTAGAGGAAATTAGTGAACATGGAACTGACCCTTTGTCGTCGATGAGCTGGACGCTGGTGTTTCGTTTGTTGAACGCGAAGCAGGATTTAACTTTGATCCCGTACATTCCTGGAAAAAGCGGGTAAGAGCGATGAGTCCCGCGGACCGCGAAGTCAGAGCCGGCGCGCGTTCACGCGTTTACGCGCGCGCGCTCGTTAATTCCAATTAAACGTAAAGGGGTGAAACAGAGTGAGAGATGCCGTGTACTAACCATCTGGTCGCGAGATCTCCGCACGCAACGTGTAGTTGTGACCATAAATAGCCTCCTGCACTTTGTGGCCCCCCTCCAAAACCCTCAGCGATACCAGCGAGGTCTCGTTCCTGCGGCAGAGGAATTATACATGCCGCGCGATGCTAGCAGAGGCCCCGGGACCTAACCGCCCGGGCTAAAGAGAAGGATACTAATATTAATAAACTGTTACTGTAATATGTACTTCGCGTTTTTGAATCCCGCTTTTCCGCATGTGATCACGTAGAATTTATCGTCCGCCAGCTCCAGGGTCTTGTGTATCCTCACTGCGATCGGGATAGACCGCTCCTCGGTGTCCTGCAACCATTCCCATTAAATTCTCAGTGACTCACTATGGCAACTGGGTTTTCCGTTTCACGCTCTCCAATCTTATTCAATTTTTTTTAAATGTGCATAGTCTGAGGACACTGCCAAGTTTTTATTACTGCCTCTTGACCTTCCTGTGACCTTAAGGTAGCACTGGAACTCTGACCTCATGCATGCCATGACACTTAATTTACCAAAAACCCACTCTAAACGTTTTATTCATTCCCGAAAACCTGTAATCTGTTAAGTGGAGGAACTCACGTTGTTCACGAGAACGCCACAATAATCCGGCGAGCCTTTGGGGGCTAGGAGATTAATGGCGAGGGTCGCGTGGGTGGTTCCATTGCCGGGCGTCATGCACTGCGGCGTCCTAAAATCCCTCGCGTGAACAGCACCGACGAAACTCTGGTTCAGGTTCACTCTTATCGTCATATGACCAGCCTTGCATGTCGCCGTGACCGTCGGCTGGAACTCGGTGTCCAATAATTGCCCGGTGACCTGTGATCAAAGCGGAATCTCGTCACCTTAAGTGTAATTGTCGTTACGTGTAGTAAAAGACAAGCAAGTTAGTATTATAGTAAGAGAAATCTGTGCAGTCATCGATAAAACCTACCATAATTAAAAAAGTTCATCCCTATCCTAATCTACCTTTCTTCTATCAATATTCGTATTAAAGATTGCATGTATGTGTGATGAATTGTATTGGAATGGCGTGAGATATTAGCAAGTCTGTTGATGTTCGTTCTCTGTCATTTGATGCTGTATACTGTTTACATCTGGGGTTACCATCAACGCAGTCGGATCATGGGAATCGACGCGGGGTTTCATGAAAATAATCGACGAAGCCGCGTTTAATATTAACATACCCGGCTAATTAGTCTGCCAGGTTTAATTATACACGGTTAATTGCCGGTTGCCCTTAAAAGAGCTGGCGCGCGCGCGCGCGCGCGATCTCGCGTTTAGCCTTGCCCGTCGTTTTTTGCTCTCCCGCGGCTATAAATTATTTAATTAATTACGATCGGTCCAGCGAGGCTTCTTGCCGTCGGCCTTATCGGTTACGACTAAGTAAATAGACACTCCCATTGGTCGGATCGAAAATTCACGAGTTTTGTCGCCCGTAGGATAAGCACCGGTAATTATACGGTGTATAACTTTATTTAAAGATGTATTGGTTATACAGTACAGGAATTCCATTAACTCGTTCCCAATAAGATTTTACAGAACGACAGATTTGAGACGAGGATTTCGTCCGGGTGTCTGAATTCATATGGAATAGACGTGAAGCCTGTCCAGGCTTGGACCGAAAAAGGAGCATCTGGCCAATCGGCAAGGTATGCGTTACTACGCGTCGTGTTCTCATAATCGATTAGCCGTCCACGGATCCTTTTCTGTAACCCAACACGTCCGATCCTTTTCACCTTCAGGACTGAGAGACCACTGAGGCATTTAGGACTGTCGTCCTTGCGGACGCCTACGTACCAGAGAGCTCTGCTTTGTCTCGGTTTTAAGAGGCGAACGCCATTCCGAGTCCGCAAGCTTTTCACCGTCCAGTCGATTTTATTGTCCGCGCGTACATACGCTGTCCTGCATGAGGACACGCGTTACGGCCATATTCGTGCTCAGTTGGATGAAATTGAAAGTTGGCGTGGGCCGACAGCTACCGCCCAGACCGGTCCAAGTTAAACAGCTAGGCTAGTCATCTGACTTTTCTAACTTTCGTCCGGGTACATTTTTCACTAGCTTTTTTCAATGACTGTCTTATATAAGGTTATGTGCCCAACCCTATGGCCAGACTTCCTGAAGAACAGAATTAAAAGTGTATTTCTGAATCCATCGAGACCTTCGTTGATAGATGAAAAAGGAACTATTGAAGGATTCCGTGGTATCAAATGTTGCGTGCTGCAACGTGAGAGCCTGTCGTGGATCATAGTAATTACATTACTTCGCCGTGACTAGTCGCGGAAATTAGAGGAGAAGACCATCGCGTTTCTTCTTCTCGCGGTGCCCTCGCGAGTATCTCACTCTCGCATTTATTTCTTCTTTTTTTTTTCTCAGACTCCCATTGAAGCATTCGTTAATTGGCGCTACTGTATCGATTACGTAAACCCCCGGGTCTCAGCCGTGTACCCGCGACGCGGCTATAATTAGTACATTCCTTTCGCGAGTAGTCACGAGCTGCGAAGAGGTAAATCGCGGTTGCAGACCAAACGGATAAGTAGGCTGACCGTGTAACGATCTGGAACGAGACCCTTGTGCTAAAAACTGTCGTCGCAACGTTCCGGGATTATAATAAAAAACTGTAATCTCGGCACAAGTTTCTTTCCCAATCTGTTTAACGTGGTTAAGGTGTCAGTCATCGTTGCTTAATTCAGTCACATTTTCGTGTACAACACAGTTTGAACAGAAAATAGATGAAGCCTAATGAGGACGTAAGAAGCAGTGCGAAAACCACACTGGCGATGAGGATCCTAGGACACCCGAGGAGAGTCACTCTTCCCGTAGTCATCCTAGCAAAGTAAACCGTAGTACTTTGCCAATCCTTGATCCTTTGCCTAACCCTGGCTTTCACCCTATCGATTTTAATCAAAGCCTTAGTCTAGTTCCCTAGGAAAATGATCCTAGCCCTTGGTGCAGCTACTATAATACAAAAACCAGAATTGTTCCTCTGGGCAACATGAAATTGAATTGTCGCAAACATAAAATCTGCGGTACACGCCCTGATCCGAGGAGAACCCAGTGACGCAACACGGTTCCCCATGGGCAGACGGAGGATCGAGGACAAAGGAGAGCTCGGTGACATCAGAGAACCGGCTTACATAAACGAAAGTTAACGCGGTCCACCAGCCCGGTTAGATAACATCGTGGGACGTGTTCACGAATTTCGCCTGGGTAAAAGCGTGGTGGCGCGCGTGATGCTCCGGAACGGGGCCCCGATGTACTCGTCCGGGTAACGAGCGGGTTCACCCGTCGACGGGGAAAGCGACAATTAGCCCCGCGGACGACCGGTCGGTCACGGAATAGAATAATTCATGTAACGAGGAACCGATGCCGGGACAAGTGGCCACTTAGTAATTCGCTACGATAGAGCGTACACTATCGGCAATCGGCGACCCGCCGTCAATAAATCAACCATTTTTTTTCCTCGTCCAAGACTGTTGTAACCGTAGGACAGTGTGCGTGGCTACGCGACGACGACGCGAGTCGCTTAATACGATTGTATAAGTGAGCACACACGGTCGTGCCTCGCGTCGATCCTCTGTATTAGAGCGATTCCGTGTAGCCGGCGAATGGACACGTTGTGTGCTACGTTCCCTATGTGGTGTGCGCGCGGGCACGAATTTTACGCGTGGATAGCGGCAATGTATCAAGATTTAATCCGCCCGCCCCGTGGCCGCAATGTTTCAACACATTCCGATAGTACACACCCATGGGCAAGTATGCGGGGCCGGCGAACGAGGGCGGAATAGTATCGGCCACGGTGAAGCGGTCGCTATTTTTTCACCACAGATGAAATATACCCGCGGAGTTATCGAAACGTACAACCCATCGTCGTTTAGGTTTTATTAAATGTGTATATATAGAAGTCCTGGCTATTTAATGGTGAACCTAGTATGCTTTTGCACTATGCCTATGTTCCATCAATCCACAATTAGTTTTCCAAAACATCTCCTAGAGAAAAAACACACCTGGCCACAAAAAACCATAAGAAAAGCGCAAAAACCACACTGGCGATGAAGATTCTAGGATAGGTAAAACGTTCAACACGTGAGTCACTCTTCCTCTGGTCATTCTAGCGACAACGTCGAGTGAAACCATAAGTTAGAAAACAGAACAAGCCTAATGGAAACAAAAAAACACACCTGGACACAAAAACCATAAGAAAAACGCAAAAACCACACTGGCGATGAAGCTCCTAGGACAGGTAAAACGTTCAACTCGTGAGTCACTGTTCCTGTAGTCATTCTAGCGACAACGTCGAGTGAAACCATAAGTTAGAAAACAGAACAAGCCTAATGGAAACAAAAAAACACACCTGGACACAAAAAACCATAAGAAAAGCGCAAAAACCACACTGGCGATGAGGATTCCAGGAGACCCAAGGAGATTCACTCTTCCTGTGATCATTCTAGCGACCACGTCGAATGAAACCATAAATTAGAAAATAGAACAAGCCTAATGGAGACTCAATTCATAAATACATTATGTATTTTGTCATTTTATCAAACCACACTGCATCCTTCAAACGTCTAAGATAAAATCAATAACGTCGAATGATACTTTACGTTGAGTCACACTATTGAAAGTATTGCGAATCGTTTCTCAGGTATAGAAGATTCTGCTTATAAGTGAAATCAGCCTGTGAGATCAGGCATTATTTCTAAAAAGTGTTCAAACACGCTGCGCTCGTTTACTCATCGCTAATTTTAGTACACTTTCTTGTTGCTATTCCCATCATTGTCTTCACGCTGTTTTGGATTAATTAATACTAGACGGTGTTCGATAAATCTTTTTTCGACACTTTCCTAAATGAATTGCTAAACAGACGTGTGCTTTCTACTTTATAGAAATGGCGAGAGTTCAGTCAGTGCAGGCTGTCTAGAAATTTTAGGACATAGCAGCAGCACTGTATTATATTTTATATTATTTACTGTATCATTTATTACATATCTACTTTTCTATATTTCTTACTTTTTATATATTCACGAGAAACCTATACTAACTCCTCGGTTCAGAGTAAGTATTGACGAGCGTGTTAAAAGACTGAAGCCTTGGTTGAGGTAGCACAATAGCGCGAACGTGAAAGAAGGCCTGAAGCACGTGAACAATTACTACGAGTCGTCCCGCGGAACTCGGATCCTCGGGAAGGCCGGCGGTAATGTAAATACCTGTAGTATATTACAGTTTGCCAGTGTGACACAGCAGCATTGTTCTATGAGACTTGACTTCCTCGTATTTTTCAATTATACTCGGCGCACTGTTGTTGCCCACACGTTTCAGTATTTTTCCAGACACAGCTGTATAAATTCTAACTCCGCCGGGCCATCACTGAAGAAATACTATCGTCGTTTCAACTATAATGCCAGACTCTTAAGCTTCTGATAGACAAAGATCAGATGTCAGCTTTTAGATTAGATGTTAGATTTTCTTTTAAATCTGTGAATGTCAAGCAGGCAAGAAATGTTCATTTGTAGGATGATGAACAGATAATCAACCCTTTCTACGTGTCTGTGCCGGGTGGGTCGATAATTGTATTGAGCTTCCAACACTCTTAGCCCATAAAACCATAAACAAAACAAGCTGGCGATCTTAATATAACAATTACGACGTTGTAAAACACGTCCCGATGCTCGTTTTGGCGTTATTAAAAGAACAGCTCGCGGGGATTTGTCAATGGCAGGTAAAACCCAGTGCACGGAACGGAGAAATCGCATTCTCTGGCCAGAGGCTTCGGCCGGCTCTCGAATTATCTCGCCGGGTAAAAGGAAGAAGAGGAGGCC